TCTATTCAAACTGTTTATCACTTTCTTTTAGGCTTAGGAGCAACTACAGAAGAACTCCACTTAATCTGAGTAAAATTGGACAAAGAGGGATGGGTGGCGCAGCAGTTTAGCGCCTGCCTTTGGCCCAGGGCGCGATCCTGGAGACCCGGGATCGAATCCCACGTCGGGCTCCCGGTGCATGGAGCCTGCTTCTCCCTCTGCCTGTGTCTCTGTCTCTCTCTCTCTCTGTGTGTGTGTGTGTGACTATCATAAATAAATAAAAATTAAAAAAATTAAAAAAAATTGGACAAACAGATCTGAATTACTGGCTTTTCCAGGTATAATGAAATAATTAACTCACTATCCATCACTAGAAACTGGGACTCCTAGTTCTGCTTAAGCTCTTTTCCCAATGAAAGAGAAAAAGAATATAAAATTTAATGTGAACAGCAATTATTAAACACTTATGCATTGCCCAAAGAGCAGGTCCCCTTCTCCAACAGGGAGGGGACCTGTTTGACAGAGCACATGGCATAAGAGGGATCCTTGGAATTGATCCTCCCTCAAGGCAGATGCAAATCGGGGTTCAAATGAATAAAATAATTCTGTTCCCAAAGGTGCGCCCATTCACACAAAACTCAGGAAAATACTAAAAGTTCCCCATCTACTCATGTCCACTGTCTTAACTTTGATTTCAAAGTCCCGGTGGTTACTCTCCTTGTTCATGATTCCCTATTTATTGTACAAGTGTTTTTTCTGGCATAGGAAGGTGGCTTTAATTCAGAAAAATACCAATATTTGAATATAAACTGTGGATCAGAAACCCTTTGCAAAATATATTTGATCCACACTACCTGTCCCCAGCAAATCATTAGCACAACCCCTATTGCAGCACAGGATCTATAAATAGAACAAGGCCCGAGGTGAGGGAACTGAAAGGTGTGTGCTTTGGCCTAATGCTAAGAAAGGCTTCCTGCAAGATTCACGGGTTCTTTTTCCCCAATACTCAACTACTGGCAGAGGTGGCACTCAGGAGTTCCCCCTATGTTGCATTTCTATCGATTACAATTAAAATACAAAGAAATCGTTTCATCATGGAAGAGAAAGAGACCTTGAACTTTTGGAAACCTGCTTATTTGGAATTATTCCACTAGAGATCTTGTTTTAGAGAAATCCATGACCTCACCCTCGGAACATCAGCTTCCACACAGCCAATGCCACTGTCCCAGCTCTACTCAAGGCTTTAAGATTTCAAGATTCCCCACGCCCCACTGAACCTCCCCTCTCCTGCCGCCAACCAAGTTCTGCCTCATTCATGCAACATTTCCTATGATCTTCCTTGGGCATGCTCCCTCTGCTCTGAACTTCTACAGTTTAACTCCCCTTGAGACATTGTTTATATTCCATCTGGGAAAGTATTGGAGTATGTGGCATTTTCACCAGACTCTGAGTTACTTAGAGGTGGAATCTAAGTTTCACTATCATGTCCTTTAAGTATGACACACAGTAGGTGTCCAACAAACACACATGGAATTGAAGAGGAAAGTCAAACTGCCTAGACTATTTAGGCCTTCTCTACCTGCATATTCTAGAACAGCAAGGCTGCAGAATGGCTGATGACTCCACAGATGCTAATGGTCTCAATGGAGACTAGCACTCCAGCCACACAGCCTCTGCCCTGGGCTCTTGCTGTTTCCTCTGCCTGGAAGCCTCTTTCTGAGACATCCAGCTCTTTCCCTCATCTCCTGCTGACCTTTGTTCAGATGTTACCTTCAAAGAAGGGCCTTTTCTGTCTATCCTATTTTTTTTATAAATTTATTTTTTTATTGGTGTTCAATTTGCCAACATATAGAATAACACCCAGTGCTCATCCCATCAAGTGCCCACCTCAGTGCCCGTCACCCAGTCATCCCCACTCCCCGCCCTCCTCCCCTTCCACCACCCCTAGTTCGTTTCCCAGAGTTAGGAGTCTTTCATGTTCTGTCTATCCTATTTAAGATTTCAATTCCTTGGACAGCCCAGGTGGCTCAGCGGTTTAGCACCACCTACAGCCCAGGGCCTGATCCTGGAGACCTGGGATCGAGTCCCTCGTCAGGCTCCCTGTATGGAGCCTGCTTCTCCCTCTGCCTGTGTCTCTGCCTCCTTCTCTCTCTCTCTCTCTCTGTGTGTGTATGTGTGTTCTCATGAATAAATAAATAAATATTTTTTAAAAAATATTTCAATTCCTCCTCTCCTATTAGGGTGTGAATGTTTGTGCTCCCCCCAAATTCTGATGCCCTATATGATGATATCAGGAGGAGACCCTATGAGAGGGTCTGAAGTAATGAGGGTGGAGCCTGCATGAATGGAAACAGTGCCATTATTAAAGAGACCCCAGTGAGCTCCCTCACCCCTTCCACCATGTAAGGGTACAACAGAGGTCTGAGACCAGAGAGGGCTCTCACCCAACCGTGCTGGACTTCCAGGCTCCAGAACTATAAGAAAGAAATTTTCTGTTGTTTATAAGCTACCTAGTCTGTGGTATTTTTGTTCAAGCAGACTGAATAGGCTATGACCCCTGCCCATCTTATCCAGCAATTCCCTATCCATTTTTCTGATTTTTTTTTCTGTGTATCACTCATCACCATCTAATAAACCATGTATTTTACCTCTTTCCTTTTCTTATTTTCTACTCTACCCCCATCTCCTAGAATGTAACCTCCACAAGGGCAGAAATCTTTGTTCATTGTGTTCACTCTTTCACTCTCAAGGACTATGCTTAGGATAGTCCCTGGCAGGTTAAGTACAAGGTAGTGATTCAAGATATTGCTATGAAGTGAATTTTAAGGGTGAATCATAAAGCCTTTATAAAATATCTACTTCTCCTTGGTACTGTTTGCTTCTATACAAGACTGCTACTAGAAGCGAAGAAATACCACCTGATCTAATGCACACAGCCTAGTGTATCTGCATCATTAGAGAGCTAGCAATGCATGGAAGAGCAGAACAGGTGTCTCCCCTGATGCCAGCACCAGAGAGATTAGGAAAGTGCTTCACTTCCATACCTTCTCCCTTAACAACTTGCTGCACAATTAATTCAATGAAATAACTGTTTAACAGATACCTTCAAAGTGCCAAACACAATACTAGGTGTCGGGAACACATAATCACACTTGCTCACAGCCAGCTCAAAGTAGAGAACAGAAAAGAGAACAACAAAATAAATAGTGACTGAAATATAAGGACAAGTGTAAGAGTCTCCACAAAAATGGCAAAAACAAAACAAAGAAACAAGCAGAAACATGTTTTATATGAAAACATATAGGGTGACAACTTCCAGATGGGAGAACCAGACATTGGATGACGCTGAGTTGAATCTTGAGGGATGAGTGGGAACTTGACTAGTAGAGTTGACAGGAGTGTGAGAGAAAGTAACAAAAACTCAGAGTAAAGAAAGCACTGTAAGGCATGCGGTGGAAAAGTCAATGGCAGAGCCATGCAGACAGGGAGTGATGGGAAAGGGAGGTAGGATCAGCCCACAAAGGGCCACAAAAGCCATGCTGTGAGGTTGGCTTCCTTCTAAGAACAATAGAAGACTATTTGAGATTTTGCAACAGGGAGTGAATATGAACAAAAGTGAATATCTAACATTCTTCTTGAATCTTTTTATATCTTCATCCCATATAATTCCTTGGAGTCCTAACTTTATGAGTATCCTAAGCACCATCCAAAGAAAGATTTCCATCCCTTAGTCCTAAGCAACCATCTCCATCAGATTTATAGTTTATTCCTACCCTCTTAAAGATTATCATCTAAAGCAAATTCACTGAATCAACAGAAATATGAAGAATAAACAATAAAAAACAAAATAATCCAATAGTAAGTTTGATGGGTAGGAACCCACTATCGTATTTCATTGTGGTATAGGGCCTGGAAGTTGAGAAATCCTCCACAAAACCTTCCCGATCACCTAAGGTCCTGTCATCCTCTCATAGTTCCTGGTTTGGAATAACAGTGATTGCAACAGCAGCTAAGAACAATAACCTTACTATGAGTCAGGTCCTGGGCTAGGCACTGGCATAGATTCTCTTGTTTAATCTTCACAACAGGACATGAAGTAGATGCTGTTTTTATCCTATATTAACACATGAGGAACCTGAGGCTTGACAGAATTAAGTAGTTTGCCCCTAACTAGTCACCGACATAAATCTTAAACTGAGGTCGGACTACAGAGCACATAACCTTAACCACCACCCTTAGTACACGTTCGACATTTTTATTCTCCATTGCATACATTTCTAATGTTCCCCACATGGGTAAGTTCTAGGAGACAAATGTGCACATTTTTTTCTTTATATATCCTTCAATGTCTCACCTGTGAACTGAAGAACCACTAGTGAATGAATGGCTACACTTTAAGGCACTGATAATATATGATAAAGGAGTTCAGACATCGAAGACAGTCACTTTACAGACAAATGGTCATACAGCTTAATACTCTAAGGCCAAGAAAACTAGACCATCAACAAATACCATTCTGATGGCATGGATGATGGGCAAGAATCACCAAGAAAGCTAGGGGACCTAGGAATGCTCACCAAGATCTCATCTATGTGTGGTCAAGGGAACATGCTGAATATGGGTTAAGAGAATGCCTTAGAAGCTTCTGTGGAGAAGAGTGGTCATAAAAATTCTTTCTCAGAAAAAAATGACATGACCTCTTAAAACAACAGACTTAGTGGGATTATCAACCAGATGGGCCAACCTGATTTGCAAAAGGATGATCTGCTGCCCAATCCTTAGGGGCAAAGAAACCAATTACTACCATTCTGTTATAACAAGCTCCCAGAGCACCCAGCCAGGGGTGAAAAAAATGTGTCCGATGCCCCTTTCCATTTCCCCACAGCCCAAACTCTAGGCTTTACATGGAGTAGATATGTGGTTAAGTGGGTGCTGACAATAGTGTAACGTACTCCACACCCTCGAGAGGTTCAGAAGCAAAGGTGTCACAATCCCAGCTGCTGCCCCTGCTCTGGGCTTACCGTCATTGACACTGTCACTGGTGGTAACATGGGTAAATGGTGACTGGGCCCGAGGCTCCTCACACAGGGAGTAGCTGTGTTCGGCCTGGATGAGAGGTGCTGGGGATGTTGGGGATGGCTCCACCTCCATCGACACGCTCTTCTCTGAGAGGAAAGGGTCATTCAGGAGCTGACCCAACACGTTCTGGGAAAACTCATCCAGGAGTTCTGAGAAGTGCTACAAGAAACAAAGGAGGAAGAACTTTAAACCATAATCGGAAATTTACACATTATCCTGAGGCAAATACATCACCTAATGCCTCAGATGAAGTCACTTACATACAATGTCCAGTTATCTATTGCTATGTAGCAAACTACCCCAAAGTGTAGTGGCTTAAAATACCTACAATTTATTATTCCTCATTACTCTGTGGGTTGGCTGGGCAGACACGCTTATTTCATGTGAGTTCACTGAGCTGGAAGGTTGGCTGGGAGCTACATGGGGCCAGGCCAGCTGAATGCCTGAATCCTTTTCTCAGAGACTATCAGGCTGAGATTCCTCACATGATGGCAGAAATGCTCTAACAGGGAGAAAAACCAAAGCTGAGCGGCCTCAGAAGCCACACATCCTCACTCCCTCCACATTCCTTTGGTCAAGGTAGGTGACAAGGCCAGCCCAGATGCATGGGGTGGAAAAACAGACTCCACCTCTTGACAAGAGGAATGGCAAAATTACAACGCAGACAGTGTGGACAGAGGAAAGCACAGCTCACTAGGGGCCATCACTGTAACTATTGACCACATTTTTCATTGGGAATATGTTTCAATACGCTACCCTGTATTTCGATAGCGTGAGAGTACTATTTATAGCAAGATGCCAAGTTCAAAGGCATCAGAGGCAGCTTCCTTCTGCTCTCTCCACCACCTGCACTCTGTTCCTCTCTAGTTTTTCCTTAATCTCCTTGCTCTCTTCTCATCCTCCAGCTCCAACACTAGCGACTCCCTAGCCCATACCATGCAGTGAAGATGATACAGGAATGGTCTAAGCACGTATTCATAGGGACTCCTACATCTCTTGTCTCTAGGTCCCACTCTAACAGAGCTGCATCTCATCCACTCCCTCACTGATAGGGGGATATTCATAGTATGAGGATCTGTAGAACAGGGTTTTTCAGTCTCGGCACTATTGACACTTTGGACTGGTTATGGGGGTGAGGGTTTTCTGTGCGTTATAGGATATTTACCAGCATCCCTAGCCTCTACCCACTCAATGCTAGTAGAAATCCCCTAGTTTTGGAAACCAGAGATGTCTCTAGACACTGCCAAATGTCCCCTGGGTTGGAGGGCAGGGAAGGGAACCATCTTTGATTTAGAACTAGCACTACATGGGTGCCTGGTTGGCTCAGTCAGTTAAGCCTCTGCCTTTGGCTCAGGTCACAATCCCAGGGTCCTGAGGTTGAGCCTCATATGGGGTCCTTGCTCAGTGGGAAGCCTGCTTCACCATCTCCCTCTGCCCCCTGACTTATGCTCTTTCTTTCACTCTATCTCAAATTTTTAAAAATCTACCATTACAGACTACATTAAAAATAATAAAAAAAATTTTTTTTAAAAATTGAAAGTCCATTTTGGCACCAGCTGCTAGAGCCATTTCTTTCCTCTTAACATTCCTGAGTCACAGACTAATAGGTGTCATCCTTACTGATTTAATTTTCGGGATATTTCTGGTATAGAAAGGAAGTTACAAAAGCAGATACGGCAATAAGAAGAACTGATCACAAATGGTGATGCTTAGGGTAAGCAAAGAAAATTCTTGAGATCCACATGGATACTAAGTTCTACCACTGAAGTGTCAATATCACACTCTGAACATGAATTCACTTTGGGGATGGGGAGGCAGGAGGTTAGAGTTCTAAGATTATGCTAGTCATAGGACAGAACTTCTTCTTTAATAAAGGAGAGAAGTAGACAAAAGGGAAGAAGCCCTTGTAGGTTAGGTCCTCAAAGTAGAGTTGAGATTGTGGTTTTCGCCAACATCACCAACATGAGAAGTGGCTGCACCTCATCAGGATAAAACAGAGGGAAGCAACAGGCATTGGGCATGGCCTGATAAGCATCAGCCATCTACAAGAATAAGAGAGGTGCTTGGGGAGAGAGAGTTCTCTGCACACAAATATGTTTAGAACTAAGTCCTTAGGAGCATCTAAGGCAAGGATTACAAAGGTGTGTCTACATCACAATTACCAGGAGAGTTTTGTTTTAGTCATTTTATAATGAAATATTTTAAACATTCAGAGAAATTATAGAAATGGTACCATGAATAAGTATGTATTCATTCCTTTGGGGAAAAAATCTCATTTTTCCATGTTTGCTGTTGCAACCTTTTTTCTTTACTCTTTCCCTTTTAAGAAATAAAACATGAAGGGATTTTTTAAAATAAATTTATTTTTATTGGTGTTCAATTTGTCAACATACAGAATAACACCCAGTGCTCATCCCATCAAGTGCCCTTTCAGTGCCCACCACCCAGTCACCCCCACTCCCTGCCCACCTCCCCTTCCACCACCCCTAGTTCATTTCCCAGAGTTAGGAGTCCTTCATGTTCTGTCTCCCTTTCTGATATTTCCCACTTATTTTTTTCTCCTTTCCCCTTTATTCCCTTTCACTATTTTTTATATTCCCCAAATGAATGAGACCATATAATGTTTGTCCTTTGATTGACTTATTCATGAAGGGATTATTAAAGCTCTCACCCATTTCCCTTCCTCCTTCCCAAAGCTAACCAATACCCTGGACTTGGTTAACATCCCCATTCAGGTCTACATTCTTATTACATATGCATATTTCCATTACATACTTGGTATGAACTTGGTAAACTTTAAATAAATAGTACCATCCCTCACACATCCTTCTGCAACTTTATTGTCTCCAAAAACATTCTTTTAGATTTCTTTATGTTTATAAATAAATAAAAGGCAGCTCAATTTCATTCATTTGAACTTCTGGCTTGTATTCCATTGTATTTATCTTTTTCTTCCTGAGAGATATTTAAAGATTTTATTATTATATGTATGATATTATAATTAACATTCTTAAGTATGATGGGAAATTTAAAAATATATATATATAATAAAAACCTTGTGACTCACTTTCAAGGGGTTCTGAGATGTTCAAAAGCATCTGTATGAAAACCATCACCACCACCTGTACTTCTAATGCTCATTTCAGTTTTTCAACCACTGAAGATCAACCCCATCCCCAGTCACTTCCTCCACGCCCTCACACCCCACTCTACACCCCCAGTTACAATTAGTTCCCTAGAAGCTTACAATGTCCCTAGAGGTTGAGATATGCCCAAGTCTTCCAACTCATAAACATTGCAGGCACCATGTGTTAAATCTGAAATAGGTAGTGGGGACATGAGATAATATAGAAGAAAAGAGACACGCCTGTACCTTTCCTGAGCTTGCCGTTTAGAGAAACCAGTGGTTCTCACACTCTGGTGTCTGTATGAATCCCCTTAAGACCCAGATGGTGACTCGCAAGGCCAGGGGGGCCTGGGGATCTGCATTTCTAACCAGCTCCCAGATAATGCTGCTGGCCCCCAGACCACATGCTGCATAGCAAGGAGAACACCTGCAAAGCTAAGATTAGGATACAGGTTTCCAGACTGTAAGACAACCTGAAGTCAGGAGTTGACTCCCTAAGCAGGTCCTCAAAGACAAATTCACTGGTTGCCTGAGGGTGGATATTCCGCAAGTATCTACCAGAGTTCCTCTCAAGACCAACATTCAGACAACAAAAAGAGAAATAAGTAACAGATAATTAAAATGCAAACTCAAGAGCTGAACGCACAGTCCCTGTATTTCCCAGCCACGATTCTGTCCCCTGCGCTGTAATATCAACTCTGGCCAGCTGTGCTGACCCTGCTAAACCTCTGGAATCCTCTTCTACCCTGAGGCAAGACTCTCTTTGATTGTCCTGCTTTCCCAAGGAAGCTGCCAGGTTGGGTTAGTCCGCTGACACCGTTTTCTTTCTCCTGAGCAGCACTAATGAATGTTTTCATGAATGTCCCCCCAAATAACCAATAATAAACCTTCTCTAACTCTGATAATCATCTCTAAACTCCCCCTACTTTGGGTTTTGTAGTAATTATCATGTTGCCAAACAATGTAGCCCTAAATGATAGGCGGTCCTGGGGAACTCGCAGTTGTTACTGAACGCATTATGAACCTCCTCAGAAGAAGGGACCATATGCACCCGACCTCCACCCATACCTAGGAACTTGGCAAGGTGGTGAGCACTGAATAGGTCCCAGGGGGATACTTGTGATTGAAAAGATATTGTCCCAACTTGTCCCAACAGATGCTGTGACTCAGCCCAGCAGATCAGCTTCAGCTCGGTCTCCTTGGTAGCTGTGGGTTCAGGCACTCGGCATACAAGTCAACATCCTATTGCTGGTGCAGGGATGTGGCCCGAACTGGTCCATCATTACTGGCAGCCAGTGAGGGGGGATGGTATATGGTCTTGGAGACCAAAATCCAGACGAAGGGACAAAGTGAACCTCCTCAAAGAGAGAGCCTTCCTGGATCCTGCAAACACTCTAGCAAAGGACTATGCATGTGAATCTAAGGATCATGAAATTCTAGTTGACTTGGCATCATAGCACTTTATCATTCTGCCTAATAGTCTAGTCAAGGTCTCTGGGTTTATAAAGTATTTTCATAGCTTTCCACTCAATCAATGCTCATAAGACCTCAGTCACATACTGCTGGAGCTAGACCTGGAACTAAGGTCCTCTTATTTCAAACTGACTTAACTTTCCCCATAGTATTTCTCCTAGGAAAGAGGTGTTTGAGCTTCATGATCCAACTGCATGGTGAAGTTCCATCAAGTGTAACACCAGGAAGCTGCTGATGATCATGGATGATGATGGTGATAAGACCAGGTCATCTGGTGGAGAAGCGCTTCACATATTAGACTTGCAGGAAGTGAGGGAGGTGCTCTCCCCTAAAAGGCAGACACATGCCCATTTGCCAGTAAGAAAATGGGGGTTTGGGGCAGGCAGGCACATTGCCCAGGGTTGGAGTCACAGATTCCAAAGTCCATGCACTTTCTACTATAGAATGCTGCCTTATTTAAGTCTATCTCCAAAACTGACACATAGTGGGGGCTGGAGTTTCAAAATTATTTATATAGATTTCACCAACAGCCCGCCCGCTTGTCTACCACAAACACAGT